GTTAACCTATGTTTCAATATGACCTTGGGTTTAAGGACTTCCCACCCTTTGTTATACACATGTTTTTCTCTTGTCTTCATTTGCTTAAAGTTAAAAGTTCACTGATGTCAGTTTTTAGTGATGAATAAAGTTGGTAAAAAAACTGATGTTACAAAGACAACCACTATTATATCCAGGTGTCACATCAGTGATGATCACTGCTTGTAAATGTAGGTCTGTGGACATTTTACATGAAAAGCAGCTTTCGACACCATGATGTAAAAAGAAAAGAAGTAAAGTGATAATTCATTCAAACAGCTCAATGGTTACAAGGTTTCAGGATTTTTAAAAAGACAGACTAGTCAGATGTATCTGAATTTTACTGGAGAACCAGTCAGATTACACATGAAATGTATTCAGTACTATTCTACATTGGCCTTACTTCCTGTGACACTGAGTGAGGTTTGACTACTGGTTCCAGTTCCCACAGCATTTGTTGCTGAACATGTGTACACTGTGTTGTCATTGCTACCAGCATTGGTGATGGTCAAGGATGGATTATTGACCGTGGATCCAGAGTATTTGCTTCCATCTATGGATATTGAGCTAGCCACACCATTGTCTATACGCTGCCAGAAAACATTGGAATGGGTAGGTGAGGCAGACACTGTACATCCCAGTGTGACCGACTGTCCAGTGACAACTGAGTAGGATTGCTGGGCAATGGTGACCACGGGCAGACCTGAAATATCAAAAATGAATTAGGTTTAACCAGTCAGTGGACACCTTCAATTATAATTAAAGAAAAGGTCATCGAAATGTGACCTTGACTTGAAAAAAGTGTGATCTCAATGTGACCTTGACTTTGGGCGTACGGTTGCAAAAGTGATATGCGACACACTTTCTTCGCATACAACATATATCCTTAACATTTTATTGAGCTATATCAAGCAAATCAGAAACTAGAACTGTAAGCTAAAGGCTAACTTATACCCCCGCTGCTATATAAACAAGAACTGTTAGTTAAAGGCTTACTAAGGCAAAGCATTGAAAAGCAAACCATAGTGTGCCACTAGTAACACGTATTTCGCACAAAGGGGCATACCTCCATCAAAAAGGGTCGAAATCCCAGATTAAAATGCTGGTGCACAACTACATAAGATACTGATCATTCATACAAAGTTTCAATGAAATCCACCTGTTAATTAAGGAGGAGTTGCGCAGACAAGTATTTCACAAAAAGGTGCATAACTCCATCAAAAAGGGTCGAAATCCCAAATTAAAATGCCGGTGTACAACTACATAAGATACTGATCATTCATGCAAAGTTTCAATGAAATCCACCTGTTCATTAAGGAGGAGTTTTCCGGACAAGTTACTGCAGACGACAGACCGACAGACAGACATCCAGACATCCAGACAGGGTGATTCCAGTATACCCCCCCCCCCCCCCCCCCCCCCCTAACTTCGTTGCGGGGGTATAATTATGGCATGGACAATGTATCTGACCTTTGACCTACACGTGACCGTGCTCTTGGGTATAAAGACCAAATTTTAGTTTGAGGCACATCCCGTTGCCATCCCCCATTTATCAAAAAAAAACATTTAGCTATTTTCAACTAATCAGAAGTTATCATGTCTAGGCAATGAGTTTGACCGTTAACCTCAATGAGACCTTGATCTTAGGTATACAGGCCCAATAGTGGTACCAGAAGCACTACCTTGCTATTCTTATATATATCCGTGTCAGTGAGCCTGAACGATGACTTTAGATCTGAATATGACCTACCAATACAAACCCAAACAGTGGTTTGTGAACCATCATGCCATCCTACATATATCTCGGTAACTTGATCAATTTAACCTTTGACTTAAGCACAGGGTAAGGGACACCAAGACCGTTCTATTGTTTTCACCTTAAACTACTCTTACCTAGATAGGTGTGCTGTGTAATAATGACCTGGGGGGAAGTAATTAGTTATTGTCCAGATTACTTAACACGTGTATTAACCTATGCTTTGATTTTTATTTCAAAGAAGCTGAAATTCTTATGTGGAATTCTTTCTTCTTTTAAATTTATCTATTAAATTTGTTTTTCAACATTATCTTTAATATGAACTAGTAGCCTCAATTCAAAGTTCATCATGGACCTGTGAAAAATGGATATTCTGAAAACCTTCGACAAATTTCATGAGGTACAAATGTTCGTAGATTTGCAAATTTGAAACCCTTTTGAGTTAGTTAGCAACTATACAGTATTACCAAGGATAGGTTCATATTCGTGCATAGACATGATACAACTTTGTAAAATAATTATTTGAAGAAGGAGGTATCCGCATAAATGTTGTTTACTGTAATGCGTCCCGTCAATTTTGATGAGAGTACAAATATAGAATACATCCAGTATTGTATCATCTGTGAAAATTGATGAAGGGGAAAATAAAAGGAAGTTTATTCACTGCCTTTTTATCAATAGATTTTGGTCCTCATCATCTCGGGATCACTTTACAAAATAAGAAAAAATGACCTTAAAATGTATTGATCTTGTCTTCAAATTCAAATTATTTTTTGTGTACTTTCTTTTGTGGTTTGGAGCTTTCTAATTATTTCGTGGGTACAAATTTTCGTGGTTAGCCTGTAAATTGAAATGCACTGATTTTCGTGGCAAACATCACTGATCACCGAAAGTTTTGAAAAAACGTCAGTGCAATTTGCAGTTGGCATGGCAAGGTGAATCTGTTCACCTTTGTATATAACATCCATATTCAGTAGACTTCCAGTATGAGGTTACTGATCCATTTTTGTGTAACCCGTGATTCAAGGACACTTTGCTTAGATGTGGTCAAGTTAATTTCATTTATACATGAGCAGAACTTACATTTTCAGTATCAAAGTCTTCAAGTTTGCCTACGTTTCTTTGTTTTTTTTACATAATCATAATTATACAAGTACAATGTATATACTTTTGTGAGCACATTAAGTTCATATAATTTTCTTATTATTGTTCCGTATATCCTTTCAATTTGTAAAAAATATTCGTTGTATTTATATTCGTGGTTCCATAGCAACCACCAAACATTTCATGTTATACAATAACTAAAACTTTTTTGAAGAAATAGAATAAACCCCAAAAAATTTAAACTAATTTACAGATTACTTATAGAAAGAAAACCAAGTTTCAGTAAGTTATTGCAATGAATTCTTATTAAGCATCCCAATTATATTGAGCATTTTATAACTGAACAATTCATAAAAAGATAGAAATAAGGTCGATTTTTTCACCAAATCTTGGCAATTAGTGGAATTCTTATCTATTGAACATCATTAGTTATGGTATTGCAACTGCATTTCTTACTTCCTGTCACCGACAGCAAGACCTGGGGACTCTGTCCTGTTCCAACTAGATTGCTGGCAAAACAGACGTATGTGCCCTGGTCAAGACTGTTGGCATTGAACACGGTCAATGATGGACTGTTGACTGATGATCCACCATGATTAACATTGTCTATTGACAGTGTGGTAGTCCCGCCATTGGTGGGAGTAAACTGCCAGAACACACTTGTATGTGTGGGATTGGCAGAGACAGAACACTGTAAGGTCACTGTTGTCCCTGTGACTATAGATCTAACCGTCTGTGAAACAGTGACTGTTGGTAGGCCTACAACAAAACAAATCTAAAACTAAGAGATCATTCTTCAAAAACATATGCTTGTAATCGATAGAAGCCTGTTAGTGCCCATTCATTCTACAGCTTAGCTTTTATCAAAGGATAGGTCCATATTCATGTATAGAAGCTTGATTGCTAAAATGCATTCTACTTTAAACCATAATCATTNGTTCGTAGATTTGCAAATTTGAAACCCTTTTGAGTTAGTTAGCAACTATACAGTATTACCAAGGATAGGTTCATATTCGTGCATAGACATGATACAACTTTGTAAAATAATTATTTGAAGAAGGAGGTATCCGCATAAATGTTGTTTACTGTAATGCGTCCCGTCAATTTTGATGAGAGTACAAATATAGAATACATCCAGTATTGTATCATCTGTGAAAATTGATGAAGGGGAAAATAAAAGGAAGTTTATTCACTGCCTTTTTATCAATAGATTTTGGTCCTCATCATCTCGGGATCACTTTACAAAATAAGAAAAAATGACCTTAAAATGTATTGATCTTGTCTTCAAATTCAAATTATTTTTTGTGTACTTTCTTTTGTGGTTTGGAGCTTTCTAATTATTTCGTGGGTACAAATTTTCGTGGTTAGCCTGTAAATTGAAATGCACTGATTTTCGTGGCAAACATCACTGATCACCGAAAGTTTTGAAAAAACGTCAGTGCAATTTGCAGTTGGCATGGCAAGGTGAATCTGTTCACCTTTGTATATAACATCCATATTCAGTAGACTTCCAGTATGAGGTTACTGATCCATTTTTGTGTAACCCGTGATTCAAGGACACTTTGCTTAGATGTGGTCAAGTTAATTTCATTTATACATGAGCAGAACTTACATTTTCAGTATCAAAGTCTTCAAGTTTGCCTACGTTTCTTTGTTTTTTTTACATAATCATAATTATACAAGTACAATGTATATACTTTTGTGAGCACATTAAGTTCATATAATTTTCTTATTATTGTTCCGTATATCCTTTCAATTTGTAAAAAATATTCGTTGTATTTATATTCGTGGTTCCATAGCAACCACCAAACATTTCATGTTATACAATAACTAAAACTTTTTTGAAGAAATAGAATAAACCCCAAAAAATTTAAACTAATTTACAGATTACTTATAGAAAGAAAACCAAGTTTCAGTAAGTTATTGCAATGAATTCTTATTAAGCATCCCAATTATATTGAGCATTTTATAACTGAACAATTCATAAAAAGATAGAAATAAGGTCGATTTTTTCACCAAATCTTGGCAATTAGTGGAATTCTTATCTATTGAACATCATTAGTTATGGTATTGCAACTGCATTTCTTACTTCCTGTCACCGACAGCAAGACCTGGGGACTCTGTCCTGTTCCAACTAGATTGCTGGCAAAACAGACGTATGTGCCCTGGTCAAGACTGTTGGCATTGAACACGGTCAATGATGGACTGTTGACTGATGATCCACCATGATTAACATTGTCTATTGACAGTGTGGTAGTCCCGCCATTGGTGGGAGTAAACTGCCAGAACACACTTGTATGTGTGGGATTGGCAGAGACAGAACACTGTAAGGTCACTGTTGTCCCTGTGACTATAGATCTAACCGTCTGTGAAACAGTGACTGTTGGTAGGCCTACAACAAAACAAATCTAAAACTAAGAGATCATTCTTCAAAAACATATGCTTGTAATCGATAGAAGCCTGTTAGTGCCCATTCATTCTACAGCTTAGCTTTTATCAAAGGATAGGTCCATATTCATGTATAGAAGCTTGATTGCTAAAATGCATTCTACTTTAAACCATAATCATTTGAAAAATTAATAATTTTTAAATGTATGCATGTCGAACTGCAGGTACAAAGAGGTTTTGTGAATATATTTTGCCACCTCTCTCTTTACCATTTTATTTACTACAAACCGAGAAATGTTTTAAAAACTTGCATAAACCCTGCTTCCTCTTTCATGAAAATGAAGCCGAATGCAAAGTCTAACCAGAGTTCATGAAGCAGAATAATAGGTCACGGTGACCCATCTTTTCATATCTTAGTGCAGTACTCAAAATGTATTAACACATTGAGTCCCTTTTGTCCAAGGATACTCAAGACTAAATTAGGATAAAATCCCTTAATCCATATGGTAGAAGAAGGATTATAAAGGTTTTACTTCTATTTCCCCTATTGGGCCCCGCCCCTCAGGTCCCAGGCGGGCTACACCCACCGTTTATACTAAATTAGTTCCCCTTTACCCAAGGATGCTCCAAACCAAATATGGACCAAATCCTTTCATTCCTACAGAAGAAGGATTTTAAAGAATAATTTGCTATGTTTCCCCTATTGGGCCCCGCCCCTCAGGCCCCTGGGGGGCCAGACCCACAGTTTATACAAAATTGGTTCCCCTTCACCCAAGGATGCTTCAGACCAAATATGGAACAAATCCTTTCATTCCTACAGAAGAAGAAGAAGGATATCAAAGAATTTGCTATATTTCCCCTATTGGGCCCCGCCTATTGGGGTCATTCAGACCAGGTGAGCTAAAAATCTGGTAAAATATATGATAGGTGGAACAAACTGGGTTCTTTGCATTCAATTTGATCAAATGTTAAATAGTGGGTGTTCAGAGGGACAATCCTTTTTCTAAAATGGACAGTTGACATGTATGTAATATAACAGGAATGCAATCAAATATTAATTCTACATTGGCCTTACTTCCTGTGACACTGAGTGAGGTTTGACCACTGGTTCCAGTTCCCACAGCATTTGTTGCTGAACATGTGTACACCGTGTTGTCATTGCTACCAGCATTGCTGATGGTCAAGGATGGATTATTGACTGTGGATCCAGAGTATTTGCTTCCATCAATGGATATTGTGTTAGCCACACCATTGTCTATACGCTGCCAGAAAACATTGGAATGGGTAGGTGAGGCAGACACTGTACATCCCAGTGTGACCGACTGTCCAGTGACAACTGAGTAGGATTGCTGGGCAATGGTGACCACAGGTAGACCTGAAATATCAAAAATGAATTAGGTTTAACCAGTCACTGGACACCTTCAATTATAATCAAAGAAAAAGGTCATCGAAATGTGACCAAGACTTGAAAAAAGTGTGATCTAAATGTGACCTTGACTATGGGTGTACAGATGCAAAAGTGGTATGTGACTCACTTTCTTCCCATAAAACATATATCCTTAACATTTTATTGAGCTATTTGGAGCAAATCAGAAATTATGGCTTGGACAATGTATCTGACCTTTGACCTACACGTGACCTTGCCCTAGGGTATTAAGACCAAATTTTAGTTTGAGGCACACTCCCTCGCCATCCTCCATTTATCAAAACAAACCATTTAACTATTTCCAACTTATCAGAAGTTATCATGTCTAGGCAATGAGTTTGACCGTTTTCCTCAACGAGACCTTGATCTTAGGTATACAGGCCCAATAGGCGTACCAGAAGCACTTCCTTGCTATTCTTATATATATCCCTAAAATAATTTCAGCGAGCCTGAACGATGAGTTTGACTTTAGATCTGAATATGACCTACCAATACAAACCCAAACAGTGGTTTGTGAACCATCATGCCATCCTACATATATCTCGGTAACTTGATCAATTTAACCTTTGACTTAAGCACAGGGTAAGGGACACCAAGACCGTTCTATTGTTTTCACCTTAAACTACTCTTACCTAGATAGGTGTGCTGTGTAATAATGACCTGGGGGGAAGTAATTAGTTATTGTCCAGATTACTTAACACGTGTATTAACCTATGCTTTGATTTTTATTTCAAAGAAGCTGAAATTCTTATGTGGAATTCTTTCTTCTTTTAAATTTATCTATTAAATTTGTTTTTCAACATTATCTTTAATATGAACTAGTAGCCTCAATTCAAAGTTCATCATGGACCTGTGAAAAATGGATATTCTGAAAACCTTCGACAAATTTCATGAGGTACAAATGTTCGTAGATTTGCAAATTTGAAACCCTTTTGANTTCTACATTGGCCTTACTTCCTGTGACACTGAGTGAGGTTTGACCACTGGTTCCAGTTCCCACAGCATTTGTTGCTGAACATGTGTACACTGTGTTGTCATTGCTACCAGCATTGGTGATGGTCAAGGATGGATTATTGACCGTGGATCCAGAGTATTTGGCTCCATCAATGGATATTGTGTTAGCCACACCATTGTCTATACGCTGCCAGAAAACATTGGAATGGGTAGGTGAGGCAGACACTGTACATCCCAGTGTGACCGACTGTCCAGTGACAACTGAGTAGGATTGCTGGGCAATGGTGACCACAGGTAGACCTGAAATATCAAAAATGAATTAGGTTTAACCAGTCACTAGACACCTTCAATTATAATCAAAGAAAAGGTCATCGAAATGTGACCAAGACTTGAAAAAAGTGTGATCTCAATGTGACCTTGACTTTGGATGTACAGATGCAAAAGTGGTATGTGACACACTTTCTTCCCATAAAACATGTATCCTTAACATTTTATTGAGCTATATTGAGCAAATCAGAAATTATGGCTTGGACAATGTATCTGACCTTTGACCTACACATGACCTTGCCCTTCTTGTTTTATCCATTAAAAACATATTTTTATGAATGACTTGTACTTCAAAGTTGCCTGTATGATTTCAATATATATATCGTGAATTGTGAAAGGTGAGAACATGTACCCGACAACAATAGTGTTGCTAAAGTCTATCCAGTAAACAGACATAACTTTACAAGTATAGCTAAAATACTAAAAAATCCAAAGTGCTCAATAAAATCCATGTAGATAAGTCTTGTAAATATGCTCAATATAAACTGCAGTTACAATTTAAGAAAAATATCAATATTTGAAGACAATGCACGCATATATAGACAGAATATAATATATATTGAAAAGTAAACAATTATAGATGAAAATTGTTCTGTTAGGCAGGAGGTATATAACTAATTATCTTGTGAACATTAAGAACCTAAAAACATTTCCACAATGATTATTTAAAGAAGATTCAATTACGTTTTCTTGAATTAAATTTCTGATCTCTATCGTTGTAGATTAAAATGCATAACAATTCAAAATTTTTGGGCTGTTGGAATGCATCACTGGGGATCAAAATAATATGAAATTGGGGTGGGACACCATATTGAAAGGGAACCAGAAAATGTGTATTATCAAAAATGCTGTGACGGTGACTGTTTTGCACATGCATGCAGAAAAGGGAGTGCGTTTGTTTACATATATGACTTGACATATCACTTGACATGTTTATACCTTTTTTAAGCAATTGGACACACGTCAGAATAAATGAATGTATTATGAGAGATTAATAATAGAAATAATTAACATTTTAATTTAGCTTTCGATAACTACCTCCACCTGTCGATAACTGCCCCGGTCATTAATGCCTCCAAAACAATGATTTCTCCCACAAATCGTCAGATGTACGCTTATCGCAGATGATGAAATAGAGTATGTTTCCCGACTTCTCCGAAATGCCATCACATAATAACTTAATTGCGCAAAACGGTAGACTGTCGATAACTGCCTCCATTGCTCTACTAATAGTAATGGGGGACCATTACAGATGTCCCCCTAACTGCCCCCATAGTCGCAAAGATGTATCAGAAAAGGATCGCATTGCCATAGAACACCTACAATGTACATAGTACTAAATTTGAGTGAAATTGAGCAATTTCTAAATTGCAACCAATCAGAATCCTCTGTGTAGTTGCTATGGCAACGGAACGTATGCGATTGAATTTGCAGTCCCCTAATACCCCTATGTAAAAAAAATCATCAAAATCAAATAATATTTAAATTGCGACCAATCAGAAGCCTCCGTGTGATTGTTATGGTAACAAAACTTATTTTTTAACGTTTTATTCGCCGTCTCCTAATATCCCTATATACCAATTATCATAAAAATAAAAAAATATCTAAATTTCGACCAATAAGAAGCCTCCATGGGGTTGCTTATGGCAACGAAACCTATGCAGTTGAATTTGCAGTCCCCTTATACCCCCAGATACCAATTTTCATCAAAATCGGACAATATCTTAATTTCCACCAATCAGAAGCCTTTGTGTGATTGCTATTGCAACGAAACTATGCGGTTGAATTCGCAGTTCCCTAATATCCCTATATACCAATTTTCATCAAAATACAGTTAACATCGAACTTCGCCGAGCCCTTAAGGCATTTAACCCTGTGATCAAGTTTGAAGAAAATCATTTAACATTTGTTGTAGTTATTGCACGGATTCTCATTAATCAAGGGGCTATAACTCCGCCAAATGGGGTCTGCTGAAAGTGGTCATCGAACTTGGCTGAGCCCTTAAGGCATTTAACCCTGTGACCAAGTTTGAAGAAAATCGGTTTACATTTGTTGTAGTTATTGCACGGAAATGAAGCGCGGCAGATAATGACGGACGGACGGACAGACAGACAGACAGACCCAAATTAATATCCCCCGTTTCGGTGAAAGTGGGGGATAATTAACGATGGTACTCGATGATACTCAGGATAAAAACAATATCAGCCCCCACCAGCTATGTGAAACCATTGGCCTCTTGTATGTGTTTAGACTCCCATAAATATTATCTGAATCCTTTTAGACATAAAGATGGAATTATACTAGTGGTTTCTGAGGAGATGTCATTTAAAGGTTTTACACTCTGTGACCCTTACCGACCAACTCCTCAGCTCCCTTGGGGGTGGGAGTAGGAGGTTTAGCCTCTTTTTTTAGCAGTAATTCTGATCCCCACTTATGTCGAGATTTTATGTTAAATCGTTTCTTTTACAACAAAATCAAAATGAGAATTAATGTTGATAGTTCCATCATGCAAAACTTACTTCCTGAGACGGACAGTGTGGTAGCCTGGCTATTTCCCTGTCCCACAGCGTTGGTGGCAAAACAGGTATAGGTACCACTGTCAGCAGGGTCAACATTGAGAACAGTCAGAGATGGAGAATTGACTGCAGAGCCGGAGTAGTTGATACCATCAATGTTAATAGACTGTGTGCCTGAACCAACGTTACGTTGCCAGAATACAGACGTATGGGTTGGGTTAGCCGTCACGGTACAAACAAGAGTGATGGAGGTACCAGTGGTAGCAGTGTAGACAGCCTGTTGTATCTGAACAGTTGGCACACCTGGAAAACAAACCAACAACATGTTAAACCATGAACTAAACCTTGACAAAATCACAGTTGTTTTATTGGATTACACCAAATCACTGACTTGAAGTTAGGAGGAAGGCTACTACAGGACACTTCAATCAAATTTCTACTGAACTGATATTGGTGGACCTGCTTCCATACATGTACATGGGCTTATTACTGGATACATATGATTAATATCAACTTAGGAAAATGTACAAATACTTTTCGCTAAAGTTAGCACATGCTCCCCTGATTTTATAGATGTATTTTGCTATTACGGTAATTATCATTACAATGTCAAACATTTCCAACAATGAGCAATCATAATACTTGTATAAACTGAAAGAACATCAAACACTATTACTAGGATTCTGTTAACCTGAACCTATTATACAGATAAATAATATCCGAGTCAAGTATTCCTAATTTTGTGTGAATGCCCAGAGGGCCTGTATCGCTCACTTGGATACTTAAGCAATCATAGAAAAATATTCTCATACAAAGATATTTAATTTATTCACCCCTAAAGACACATTTGAACTCTTCCAATACAAAGGTTGGAATAGTTCATTATAAAAATTTCAGGGGTGAACAAGTTAATTGCAAATAAGTTATCAAGAGTGGGACAGCATGAACACATGTCCTTATCCTAATAGCACATGTGTATCCGAATCTTCATTCTAAGTAATAGAATATATTGCTACTGGTTAGGGATCTCAACAGTTTCCATGTAGTGACCAATGCACTAAGTTCCATGAAATGGCACCAAACCCAAGGACAAATTCAGATTGTGCGCGTCTCCTTAAGTTCAGCAATGAAAATTAAGGGTGGGGAGCTCAACTGTGTAATAATGGTCCAGGGACCAAGTTCCAAGAGATCAGACTGAACCCCAGGACTAATCCAGGTACACAAAGCTATGTGTATCTAAATTTTAATGTTCTGCAATTGTACATATGATTGAGGGTGGGGATCTAAATTGTTTCAATGTAATGACCCAGAGACTAAGTCTCCAGTGGTGGTACCCAAACGTAGGTCCAATCAAGCAAATGTGTGTTTATCTGGTTATATGGTGGGGATCTCAACTCTTTTCAAAGATGAGGCATAGTAACCAATTGCCAATGGATGCAGCAGACCCTTTAGCAAATCTTAGTAGCATATTAGTATTCATTTCCTTAACCTTAGTGACTGTACATGGCTATTCTGTTGGGATCTGAACTGTGTTAAAACCTCTGTTTGGCTCCACCAATAATTACTCCCTCTCTTGATTCTAGCATATCTAGGTCAAAACAAGAAGATTGATGTTCTTTTTAGACAATTTGACTCCTACTAGCACTGCTCCTCATGCCGTTTTGTTTAGTCATAACCTACAAGATGGGAACCAATTAATTCAATGTTTTAGATGGTCTTTTGCCATTGAATCTTCTAGATTTTTTTATTGAAATTGGCTCAGTGAATTTTGAGGTGTTGAAATTGTGAAATGTTACATACAGACTCACGACGATGGACAAAAGGCAATCACAATAGGTCACACAAATTGTTGTATAAATACAATGATATCAACTTTATGAAGCATTGTCATAAAGTGTACCAAATGGATATGTTTAAAGAAAGATACATAATTAATGTTTGAAGAGAACTAAAATCAAACTGTTACTTCTAAATTAATCATGCATTATATTGAAAAGTGTTTTCAATATTAAATGGAAGCAAGAGCAGTGTGAAAGAGGAACATAATATACCAGTCATACATTGAATGAGCAGTTGTCTGTATGGTTGCACATAAAGGGCCATAACTTCATAAATTATGGTTGGACAGTGATGGTTATCGAGCGATTATTGCAATGAACTTTCCTATGAAGTTTGAAGTTTATCCGTTGAAAACTACTTCAGATATTGAGCGAAGCCCGTTTTGGCAATTGAATAATGGACCATAACTCTGTAAATTACAATTCGATAATTAGGGTTATCAGACCTGTCTGAGCTATTATGGTAATGAAACGTCCTATGAAGTTTGAAGTTTATCCATTGAAAACTACTAGAGATATCGTGCGGACACTGTTTAGGCAAATTAATAAAGAAGAGACCTTCTTTTAAAGATTTAAAAGCAATTTGTATGTCTATTTTACTGAATTGTTTATTTTCTCCTGTATATAAGTAATATTTTCTGCATTGGATGTAACATGTTTACATGCTACGTATCTAGTAGATATTTAAGCATTGAACTGTTTTATATGGTATTTATGGTCTATTTGAATGACACAGCCTAAGCGCATTATGATTTGTTTGCTTGCAAAGCTGTGTCATTCAAATAGATCATAAAAACCATACAACAACAGTTCAATACTTATATTTACGTTTTCTCTGCCTCTTATGTTCTTTTTTTAACTTATAATTTATATTTAAGATTAAAAATGCCCGCCTTATCGACAGTCCACACAATTTCGTTCAATAGCTTGAACAGCGTATTGTCGCAGGCTGATTGGCAAACAAAGTAGTACTTTGAAATTTTAACAAACACTTCAATTTTATTCCACAATTCAGTATCAATACAATTGCGTATGATATGTCTATAGGGTGATTTAAGTTTATCAATAGAACTCCGAGCTGAAAGTAATATTTGAAATTGTTTTGATTTTTCCCCGCAAATTTTGCGCTTGGACAAATACAGTGAACACCGTAAATCCGACCTTGCCCTCCACGAGGGAGTTACTTTTGGAAGTTAATTCAAACTTTTCTCTTTGCTCACTTTTTGAAGAATCCATGCGTGAATGTATTTGTTGATTTTATGGGAACCTGACAACAGTCGGTAGATTCTATAACGGCGTCGTTATTTGACATGTCGTCAGAAACTGAGGAATGGTGGATGCGAGACGCGTGAAAGATAGCGTTTGAAGTGAGTGATCTTGCGACGGAGCACAGGTTCGTTACAAATGTCTGAAATGTTTATGTGTGCTGTGACTCATATCAGTAGGTCTGTAACATATGTGTCAGTAGGTTTATATAATATGTGTATTTCAGACATTTGTAACGAATCCCTGTTGATCAGTGCAGTGTAACAGACGATATTTCTGATAAATTGCATGAGCGTTAAAATTGTTTCCATTGCCGGCATTGGTGATTTCAACCAATGTGCATTTTGTACGATATTGCAGACATTGGTCTTTTTTTCGTTGTAATAAAAGTGTTTTTTATTTTATTTTTTATTTTGCACATAATTTACAATGGCATTGTCAAATCTCACAATGCCCAGCGATATTTCAGCAGCCGTCATGTTTATTTATATTGGATATTGTAGTTCCGGTCAGTGTTGTATTAATATGCTAAGAATTGTGTCTCATGATGCATGGTACTTAAAGTCCCATCAACGACACAGCTTTCAAAGAGGCTATATAGTGACAATGCCATGCAAATGTAAATATTTACAGATAGATTGTTAGCTTCTTCAGTTCTATCTTTGATATTACTATTAAGTCTGCTTATAAAAAAATCATGCAACTTTGGAAACTAAGAAAACATGCAAGATCTTGTGATGACAAAGCCCATTGTTTTTAATGTTTGCAAAAGGTTTAACAACATCCAGATTATCAAGTCAAATGTACATAGACCTGGTGTACATAGACCTGGTGTACCTAGACCTGGTGTACATAGACCTGGTGCACACCACTGACAATCATAACAAATAGCATGAGAAGTGGCACAGAATTTTGGCACCAAAGACATGTGATATTATTGCAAGGAAATTAACTTCAGCAGTGATCTTTTGTACGAAGCATCTGAAAAAGATCAAAATTAATCCAATGCCTGGAACATAAATATCCACATGTGTTTTTAAGCGATTGATGATCTGTCCATCGCTGCTGTATTTTATACTATATGGTGAGTATTACCATCAGACACCCAAATAAATTTAACTGATGCATTATTGTAACTTCATGTTATGGAAATATAACAAGAACAATCTACATTTGTACTGTATTACTCAGCAAATTTGAAAACTACTCCTAGGATGAAGGGATCAAAGAATAGCACATAATTTACTTGACCAACTTGAGAGGAAAGAAAATATAGAAGCCAAATATTCCTTAAGACCTTTTAAAAAGAAAAAACCGCAAAGGAACTGCTTCCCTTTGTCAATATTCCAAACATTATGAAAATAAATAGGCAGTGCCCCATTTTACCCATAATTGATTCATTTTGCAGATTTCCCAATTAGTGTAAATATGGACCAAGTTTCGTCAGAATCCAGTCATATTTGACTTAATGTGCAGAAACAGTACACAAAGCTGTGATGTAAACAATAAGCCTTGTCATCACTTTTTAAAAGTAGGACACATTTTTCTGCTGTGCACACGTCACCAGTGGCAGCCATTCTGATTAAATGCATTAAACAAATGCATGTTGGTGCAAATTTCAAAGTAAGATAATGACAGTTACTTTTGTTTTGTCACAAGTAAGCAGTCTGGAATTTTGCACCTGTATCTCGCATGGAGCTTGGCACACCTGTGACTTACACCGACAGCACATTAGTTTGGGATAAAGGTCATAAACACTATGATTTATACAGCTACAGATAATTTTACAGTGAATTAATATGCAAATAATGTATGAATTTGTTAAAGAAGATCAGTCTCAAAATAATTTACAGATGAAACAAAAATGAATAAATATATATATCTTAAACTAAAAAGTGGATTTCCAGACCTGTCATAAGATTCTGATTTAGCGTAACAAAGTGGATACCGTATTTCAGGAAGACATGTTTGGTGGAAGAATAACAGTATGTTTTCACCTTGTTTTCTTCCTCGAGACATCTGCACAAATACCCTATTACAGCCAATTACACTGTTAGTGTCAATTTACTTGCACAAATACCCTAGTACAGCCAATTACACTGTTAGCGTCAATTTACTTGCACAAATACCCTATAACAGCCAATTACACTGTTAGTGTCAATTTACTAACACAAATACCCTACTACAGCCAATTACATCATCACTACAGATTCAACTGTCATAGCAGATTTTACTTTCAATGCAGTATACTGTACACTATCAAGGTACATTTGCGGTTTCCAGTCGGGATCTAGATGTTATCACATGGTCTACTACAACATGCATTAATGACCAAGTGGTACATGTACAAAGTGTAAGTACTAATTCTAAGTATTTACATATCAACATAAGATCTCCAGACTTCCAACACAAACCCTTGTCATCACACTAACGTCTACTAACTCTAAGTATTTACATATCAACATAAGATCTCTAGACTTCCAACACAAACCCTTGTCATCACACTAACGTCTACATTTCTGCAGAAAATTAAATAGTGTTTTGTTTTAGGCAGAAAATCTTACACGCAATGTGTATCTATAAGTAAACACTATTATCTCGAGTTCTCAGGGCATGCAGTATTAATCGCATGTCTTTTAAATCTAAACATCCCCCCAAAAAAATGCTCCGAGATGTTAAAAGATAGAAAGCTTGTTATCGTGTTATGTGCTTGAAACACACAAAAGCCATATGATGCAGATACAAGTGTAAATAAATTCGAATTTGTAATAATTTTCATGCAACTGTTCAGCATTTTCTTTTGTGGACCTACTTCCTGTGACAGCGAGTGTTGTTGCTGAACTCTGAGAGGTTCCAACACTATTTGTTGCAAAACAGACGTAGTTTCCAGCATCTGTACTTGCAGCATTAAAGATGACCAGAGAGGGAAAAGCTGTTGTTGACCCACTGTATTTGTTACTAATAGAAGTGTCCACGGTTTGAGAGACACCATTGACTGTTTTCTGCCAAGAAACACCTGTGACCGATGGGTTTCCGCTCACAGTACAAACAAGCACAATAGTTGAACCAGTAGCAACAGTATAAGTCGCCTGACTGACGACTGCGGATGGGAGAGCTAAAAAGGCAAGTGTATTTTATAACAAAAGTAATGTTTCTGTAACAAAATTGTATAAAACAAATAGGTTGAAATGGGTCATATTTTAAACAGCAGGTAAAAGGGTCTTTATATCCTTTTTTCCTCACTCTCTTATCTCTCTCTCCCCCTTGGTTTATGGCTGCACTTGGCACAGCTAATAGGCAAGTACCAAACAAATTGTAGAATTTCACCTATAGAAATGTACACAATAAAGTAGTTTAACTATTAACGAGATGATGACAGGCCTTAATATTTATTCTCATGAGCAATGGTAAGCAAGGTAATTCCCCTGGCTTAAAGAGTCAAAATTTGCTTTCTTGGAACACAGTAGAGAACCGCCAACTCTTATCTATTGGGAGCCAAAAACTTGGTTCAATAAGTTATTATTTATGAAGTTGATCATACAGTACCTAAAGCAATTGATTGAGGTTTGAAGCTTGTTCAATTGCATTATCAATCAATACCTGATGTTTTGGTTCCATGAAAATAGATGCTGACAAAGTCAGTGGACCACAAAAGTTTGAGATGTACTACCTAAGATGCATCTATGGTCCAAGTTTGGTTGGTGTAGCACTTATACTTCCAGTGAAACTAACTTAAGTGCAAAACCTTAATGTTGACGCGCAGAACAGCAACACTTTGGTCTCGCTTCCGCTACTTCGTAGCGGCAAGACAAAAAACAACTTCGCAATTGGGAAAGGTGCTAGACCACTTAATGATAAAGCAGAAGCTGAATTAATTGTCCTCTGTACCACTGGTCAGGATATTTGCATGCTTATAATTTTCAACAGCATTACTTGGAAAAATTCAAAAAGGTTTCAACTCCCTAAAAATGCCAGCAACCTATAGTTGTCTTTTAATGAAAAAAAACCTAACTATCTATAATTAATTTCATTGACTTTCTACAGCAGAGAAGTGGCTAGACTCTCTACCCTAATATCAATGATAACCAATATTGATTTGTACCCTTTAATGCACCCTTCAGGTGGGCCTATTTGAATTAGCTAAAAAACTAAATATGCCATCCACACCAAATATATAGTTTGACTGTTCTGGCAGTGCAAGCGAATCATTCATATTTGTCCTCATTGTTTTGTAGTATTTGAAAATTTAACACCTGGCCATTGTGCCATTTCTTTCCTGCAGGGTCCTGATTCTATCCATATACCAAGGAAATAATGACTAGAAAATGGTTGGATAACATACGTATGTTTCTGATTCCACTTTGATGGAAGTAGAGCTAAGCACAAAGTCGAATTAAATAAATAAATAGTGCTAAACACAAAGTCTAACCAAGGAAGTGAAGCTAAACACAAAGTTTAACCAAGGAAATGGAGCTAAATACAAAGTCTGACCAAAGACGTGTAGCTAAACACAAAGTCTGACCAAAGACGTGTAGCTTAACACAGATTCTTTTTGGGGAAACACAACTTTGTATCATGATTATAATGTATAACAAGTTCCAAAGTGTAGGAGGAGACTGCCGAATCAACAAATGTTTACGACGGATGGACGACGCCATACTATAATACTCTCGTCAAATTTGACGGGCGTTTAAAAATCATGTGATTGACTGGGATAACTCCAAAGTTTTGGACAGGGAAAGCATTCTGTTCAAGTGGCAGATAATTAAAGGAATCCATCTGGATACGCCACAGTGCGCCAGTTCTAAATCGAGACGAGGAAGCTCAAAGACTCGCGCACATCTATGACCAAGTATTACACAAAAGACTCTTTCATACTATGACCAAGTATTAAACAAAGCGTAACTGAATCGAGTCATTTCGGTAACTATATAACAACTATTGTACATACGCTTACAGCCTAGCCGAAATCAACATCAATTTTGTGGACAACTCATACACATTTTACACTCCTTGTTTAATTCTGAGCCACAATGCTTCAAAGTGTCATAGCGAAATGTTCACCAGTGAAAAGATACAAAATATAACCTTGACCTTTGACCCAATGACCTTGACCTTTGGTCAGTTGACTCCTTGTTTAATTCTGATCAACTTTGCTTCATCATGTCATATCAAAATGTGCATCAGTGAAAAGATACAAAATTTGACCTTGACCTTTTGAATATAATGACCTTGACCTTTGACCTCAACTTTTTACCTCAGTGTGTCTCTTTGTTTAATTCCGAACAACTTTGCTCCATAATGTCATAGCGAATTGTTCACCAGTGAAAAGCTACAACATTTGACCTTGACCCCCGACACGATGACCTTGGGTCAGTTGACTCCTTGTTTAATTCTGATCAACTTTGCTGCATAATGTCATAACCAAATGTTCATCAGTGAAAATATGTATTGAGAAGAAGTCTTTTAAAGGTTTTGAATATATTTGACCCATGTGACCTTGAATATATGTCAGTCATTTGTTTGAACAAACTTGGTAGATCTTTATCCCAGCATGTTACTGGCCAAATATCATTATCCTAGGCTTCTTGGTTATTCAGAAGAAGTTTTTTAAAGGTTTTAAACATATTTGACCCCTGTGACCTGAATATAGGTAAATTGCATTCATTTTAACAAACCTAGTAGCCCTTCATGTTCAACATATATTGACCACTGTAACCTTGAATATGGGCGAAGATCATTCATTTGGACAAACTTGGTAGTCCTTCATCCAAGCATGTTAATGGAAAAATAACCTCACCCTTGGCCTTTTGCTTATTGAGAAGAAGTCTTTTCAAGGTTTTAAATATATTTGACCCCTGTGGCCTTGGTTAAGGTCATTCGTTTGAACAAACTTGGTAAATCTCTTTATCCCAGCATATTACTGGCCAAATATGATTATCCTAGGCCTCTTAGTTATTTAGTAAAAGTTGTTTAAAAGATTTTTTAAGACAATTGACCCTTGTGACCTTAAAAATGGATGAAGGTCATTCGTTTGAACAAGCTTTGTAGCCCTTCATCCCAGCATGCTACTGGCCAAATATCATCACCCTAGGCCTCTTGGTTATTAAGAAGTTGATTAAAGTAAAATATCGACGCCGGACGACGGCATAAGCTCACCTGGTGAGCTAAAAATGTGCCAAATCATTACTTCGAAAATGAGTTATAAAGGTGGCATGGGTGCTATAATCAGCAAACATAGTTTTGAAATTTGTGTCAGGTTCAAAATATGAATCTTCCTACATTTTGTTCCTTAATCACATGTATGAATGACCTTTAACCTAAACACACAGTAATATACAAAGTTTCACGATGATGGTCTTCAAGCTACGGAGATCATTTTGATTTATTTCCTTTTTATTCCAATTCCCAAATGGTTGCTTATAAAGCGAACTAATATTACATTCATTATTACAAAAATAAGAAAACAAATAAAAGTAAGCTTCATCCACTGTCGTCCAAATTACATGATTGTTTTAATAATGCCATAACTATCAAAGTCAATGCCCACTTATTTACTTACTTCCAGAAACAGTTAACTGTGTTGAATCACTTCCAGTTCCAGCGGAGTTAGATGCAAAGCAGGTGTATGTTCCAGAATCTGTGGTAGAAGCTGTGATGATGTTCAGAGATGGGGAACCTGTGGTAGCTCCAGAGAAATTGACACCATCAATGTTGATTGATGAGGTTTGACCATTGATGGTACGCTGCCAGAAGACATTTGTGATTGCTGCAGTTGATGATACAGAACATGGAATGTTGTAGGTAGTTCCGTCATTGGTGGTATAGGAGGTTAGGGGGATATCAACGGACGGGATAGCTGTAATAAAAGACAACATGAGTGATTATATGATACCAATAAATAGAATGTTTGAGGCTCACAATACAGACTCTATTTTAACAATTTCAAAGTTAGGAACCAGTGACCAAGTTGTCAAGGGTAGGGCAAGACCTTTTGTCATTTTGGAAGCAATGTGTATTCATACTCAGCAATAGAATGTGTTGTTATGACATGGAAATCCATTTCCAAAACATGGACTAATCCCTTTCACTCTACCCCTTAGTCCTTAGTCAGACTATTCATTTGTACAATTTTGAATCACAACTACATTTACATTTCAAACAAATATGGTTTATATATATCTGTTAGTTCAAGAGAAGAATTGAATTAAACTAATATAGCCGAATTAGGTTGGTGTAAGCACCCCCATCTGTATAATCTTAATCCTCACTGAGTGACAATGTTTCAAATCAAAAATGGTCATCATCTATGCTGAAAAGTTCTAGAGGAGAAGTTGTTTCAAGCAAAATGGCAAAATTACCCATATTTGGCCCCACCCTTCAGCCTCACAGGAAATCAACCCCTTCATTTGTACATTTGAATCCCAATCTCCAAGGATGACTCCAGTCAAATTTAGAAAAAATCCATTAAACACTTCTAAAGGACTTGTTTAAAGAAACTGTTGACCGACAACGGACAGAAAACAGCAGATTAACAGGCAACAGACACACCTCAGTCCTTCAAAACAGGTTAGCTCAAAGAAGATTGTTAGGCTTCATTCACTGTCATCAAATTACATGATTGTTTTAATAATGCCATAACAATCAAAGTCAATGCCCACTTATTTACTTACTTCCAGAAACAGTTAACTGTGTTGAATCACTTCCAGTTCCAGCGGAGTTAGAAGCAAAACAGGTGTATGTTCCAGAATCTGTGGTAGAAGCTGTGATGATGTTCAGAGATGGGGAGCCTGTGGTAGCTCCAGAGAAATTAACACCATCAATGTTGATTGTTGAGGGTTGACCATTGATGGTACGCTGCCAGAAGACATTTGTGATTGCTGCAGTTGATGATACAGAACATGGAATGTTTTAGGTAGTTCCTTCAGTGGTGGTATAGGAGGTTAGGGGGATATCTACAGACGGGACAGCTGTAATAAAAGACAACATGAGTGATTATATGATACCAATAAATAGGATGTTTGAGGCTCACAATACAGACTCTATTTTAACAATTTCAAAGTTAGGAACCAGTGACCAAGTTGTCAAGGGTAGGGCAAGACCTTTTGTCATTTTGGAAGCAATGTGTATTCATACTCAGCAATAGAATGTGTTGTTATGACATGGAAATCCATTTCCAAAACATGGACTAATCCCTTTCACTCTATCCTTTAGTCCTTAGTCAGACTGTTCATTTGTTCAATTTTGAATCACAACTACATTTACATTTCAAACAAATATGGTTCTTATATACCGTAAAACCCCATGTAATTTGCGCACTTTTTTTCCAGAAATTTAATACCCAAAGTGGGGGGTGCGTAAAAAAAACAGGTATAAGAAATTTCAAGTTTTTTTCAGGAAAAGATCGACGATTCTGGTAGACCGCCATCTTGGATTATCTCCCTTGGTATACAGAATTCTAAGACAAATGACGATCAACAAATTTATTTATGTCAAACATTTATAAAAGATACAGTTTTTACATAATGTGTTGTTACCCGAGTTTATGTGAAAAGTATTATTAAATAGGTAACTGTTAATAAAGAAAGTTTAGCCAAATTCCTATGTCAGAGAATCGCAGATCAGCTTAATTACATTTCAACATCTCGGTGCGTTTTCCCCATAAGGTTACTATTACAAAAATGTAGTTGTTCAATCTAAAATCCGTTCCATGTAAGTTCTGTAAGGTCTTTTTTTCAAATCCCGGCTCACTTTCATGTTGATCTCGCATCTAACATTACGTAAACACGTGATCGATAATAACCTCGTGAATTATTTCAATATTTATTAAATGAAACAACGTAAAAATAGTCAGATTTGAAAAGGATGTATTGATTGTCCACGCTTCTAGTATAAACATATTTTTTTTATAATCCCTTATCGGTCAAATCAGTCTGTAGTTATGACAATGCAGGGCTTCGTAATTCACGCCACGTGTTGGTGAGTGAAAAAAAAAAATACACGCTCCGTCGTTCGCGACTCCAAATCATTTCAATTAGTAGAGCTATTCTTAACGGGTAATCACAGATATAGTGTTAGCTAATTACTGCATTGTAATTTGTATTGACTGTAGTGTTGAGAAGTGTCAATAATTTACGCTGAAGCATGCGATTCCTACCTGGCCTATTGTCCGGGACCAGATGATGTGGGTGAAGTTATGCCCTCTGGTTAACTTACCTATAAATGTCGCCAAACCAGCAGTCATGACCACAGATGACCAATTTTAATAACTTTACAGTAGGTAAAAATTGTGTGGCCAAAACATATCGCCAAACTGAACTGTGACATGACCTGGTTTGAAGTGACGATACCCAAGCCTCCATAATGAGCCCTTCTCACCGATCGTAATTATGATCAATAAAAGGTATCTAATAATGTCTTTCACCAGGATATATGCACCAGCGATTACTAAACATCGAATTACTTATTGGTATGTTTTTGTAAGCAAGTAATTGTTTTATGTAAAATATTGCTAAAATTAATTGATGTATGCCGATGACGATATGTGCACACGTGTGTGTCATGTGTGATCAGATATTTCAAAGGAAACGAACAAATAAATACACATTTTACGCAATTTCTTCTTAGTTTTAACATCATTGTAACTGTAAACAATACTTATGAACTTACTTATAATTAACAAATTACAAAAATCCTAAGAATCCCATGCGGTTTGTTTTTCATTTTCAGAGATCGATTTTCGGAACTCAAATTGTTTTGGTGCGCAAAATATTCCAGTAGAAGCTTTTTGGTGATTTTCAGCCTCAAAAAGTGCCTGCGCAAATTACACAGATGCGCAAATTAAATGGGGTTTTACGGTATCTGTATGTTCAAGAGTAGAATTGAATTAAACTAATATAGCCAAATTAGGTTGGTGCTAGCACCTCCATCTGTATAATCTGAATCCTCACTGAGTGACAATGTTTCCAATCAGAAATGGTCATCATCTATGCTGAAAAGTTCTAGAGGAGAAGTTGTTTGAAGCAAAATGGCAAAATTACCCATTTTTGGCCCCACCCTTCAGTCTCACAGGAAATTAACCCCTTCATTTGTACATTTGAAGCCCAATCTCCAAGGATGACTTCAGTCAAATTTGGTGCCATTTCATTAAACACTTCTAAAGGACTTGTTTAAAGAAACTGTTGACCGACAACAGACAGAAAACAGCAGATTGACAGGCAACAGACACACCTCAGTCCTTCAGCACAGGTTAGCTCAAAAAAGATTGTAAGGCTTCATTCACTGTCATCAAATTACATGATTGTTTTAGTAATGCCATAACAATCAAAGTCAATGCCAACTTATTTACTTACTTGCAGAAACAGTTAACTGTGTGGAATCACTTCCAGTTCCAGCGGAGTTAGATGCAAAGCAGGTGTAAGTTGCAGAATCTGTGGTAGAAGCTGTGATGATATTCAGAGATGGAGAGCCTGTGGTAGCTCCAGAGAAATTAACACCATCAATGTTGATTGTTGAGGGTTGACCATTGATGGTACGCTGCCAGAAGACATTTGTGATTGCTGTAGTTGATGATACAGAACATGGAATGTTGTAGGTAGTTCCTTCAGTGGTGGTATAGGAGGTTAGGGGGATATCTACAGACGGGACAGCTGTAATAAAAGACAACATGAGTGATTATATGATACCAATAAATAGGATGTTTGAGGCTCACAATACAGACTCTATTTTAACAATTTCAAAGTTAGGAACCAGTGACCAAGTTTTCAAGGGTAGGGCAAGACCTTTTGTCATTTTGGAAGCAATATGTATTCATACTCAGCAATAGAATGTGTTGTTATGACATGGAAATCCATTTCCAAAACATGAACTAATCCCTTTCACTCTATCCCTTAGTCCTTAGTCAGACTATTCATTTGTTCAATTTTGAATCACAACTACATTTACATTTCAAACAAATATGGTTCATATATATCTGTAAGTTCAAGAGAAGAATTGAATTAAACTAATATAGCCGAATTAGGTTGGTGTTAGCACCTCCATCTGTATAATCTGAATCCTCACGGAGTGACAATGTTTCCAATCAAAAATGGTGATCATCAATGCTGAAAAGTTCTAGAGGAGAAGCTGTTTAAAGCAAAATGGCAAAATTACCCATTTGTGGCCCCACCCTTCAGCCTCACAGGAAATCAACCCCTTTATTTGTACATTTGAATCCCAATCTCCAAGGATGACTCCAGTCAAATTTAGAGAAATTCCAACAAACACTTCTAAAGGACTTGTTTAAAGAAATTGTTGACCGACAACGGACAGAAAACAGCAGATTGACAGGCAACAGACAGAAAACAGTAGATTGACAGGCAACAGACAGAAAACAGCAGATTGACAGGCAACAGACAGAAAACAGCAGATTGACAGGCAACAGACACACCTCAGTCCTTCAGAACAGGTTAGCCCAAAAGTAATTGTAAGGCTTCACTAACTGTCATCAAATTACATGATTGTTTTAATAATGCCATAACTATCAAAGTCAATGCCCACTTATTTACTTACTTCCAGAAACAATTAACTGTGTTGAATCACTTCCAGTTCCAGCGGAGTTAGAAGCAAAACAGGTGTATGTTGCAGAATCTGTGGTAGAAGCTGTGATGATATTCAGAGATGGAGAGCCTGTGGTAGCTCCAGAGAAATTAACACCATCAATGTTGATTGTTGAGGGTTGACCATTGATGGTACGCTGCCAGAAGACATTTGTGACTGCTGTAGTTGATGATACAGAACATGGAATGGTGTAGGTAGTTCCTTCAGTGGTGGTATAGGAGGTTAGGGGGATATCAACGGATGGGACAGCTGTAATAAAAGACAACATGGGTGTTTATATGAAACCAACAAATAGGATGTCTTCAGGCTACTGATCATACAAAGGCACAAATTAACAGTCACCATTTAAAATAGACCTAGAGGCCTGCATCACTCTCCAGAATAGTTAAGCATTCATGCCAAAATATTCTTGTTAAAAAGAGTATTGCAAATAAGGTTCCAGGGAGAGGGTAATGCTCTGCCCTGGGCCAAACCTGGTAGCATGGTAACATACATTTATTCTAATATTTTGCTCAGTAATGGTGTAGAGTATTTTCGGTTGGGATCCCAAATATTTCCATTATACGGCCAAAGAACCGAGGCTTTTAGTGTGGGGCCAGACACCAATACCAATTCCGTTAACATATTTGTCGTCAAATCTTTTTATGTCTAGCAATTGTATATCTGTTAAAAGGGTGGGGATTTTAAGAATTCCATGCAATGACCGCGACATTAAGTTACCAGAGTTAGTACAGACCCCTTAACCAATTCTGGTAGCAATTCTGTATCAAGAATTATCATGCCAAGTAATTGCATAACTTAACATGGTTTCTAGGTGGGAATCTGACCCAGGTATAGAGTCCCTTTGGGCGGTGGCAGACACAGAGCTGATCCTGGTATCATATATATCTGTATTTGAACGTTCACACACAACAATTTTAAAGACAATGAAATGATAGGATCTCAACTGTTTCCAAGCTGTTACCAAGAAACAAAGTCCCTATGGGTCTTGCCAGATCCATGATATGATTGATGATTGTGATAATGTTTAATTTTTCAGTGCAATGGTTTATATAGCTTTAGTGTGGGGATCACAACCTTCTCAAAATATGATCCACGGACCAAATTTCAAGGAAAGGGCCAGACCTATGTGTCATCCAAGCAAAATTTGTGTATTTGTCCCTTTTTTATTCAGCAAGTGTATATATGGTATTAGGGAGGAGATCTCAAAGGTTTGCATTTTATGGCCCAGAACAAACTGTATCCATGTTGTGACCCAGAAACAAAGTCCCTAAGGGTGTGGACAAACCCCAGTCTTCTTATACTGAACAATTGCATATATGGTAAAAGGGTGGAGATTTTACCTGTTTTCATGTTGTGGTCAAGAATAAACTGTTTTCATTGTGTGACCAGAAACAAAAACAAAGTCTCCATGTAATGTGTAAATGCATATATGACTAAGGTGAGTTGATCCCAACTTTTTCAAAATTATGAACCAAGAATCAAATCTTCAATGGTGAGGAAAGACCCTAGGTTATCTCGGAAGCATTTGTGTAGCCATCTCTTTATACAGTTGAACCTCGTTATCTTGAACTCTTTTTAACTCAAAGACCGCGTTTATCTCGAAGTAGTTTCTCCAGTCCCGGCCAAATCTCTTCTTTATCTTAGTATTTATGAACATCTTTCGTGAATAGACTAGAATGAAATTGGAAGAGTTTACGATGAAGCTTATTCAGATTGAAAAGTGTGCGGACTGTCAAAACCATGTTGTTCATAATAAAAAAACAAATTTCATCCATGTTGATCAACAGTATTTTGTACTTATAGTGCGAGTCCGTTTAATGATTTGTATACCCAAACAGACGACAGTGCAGACCGGAAAATTGGTCACATAGCGTGGTCATGCATAAAAGAGGACATCTTCATGGGTTTTTGTTTTTACAGGAGCCAGTTACGGCTTTGAAAGTTGATTGAGAGATTTAAGAAAAAACGATAATTGCTGTTGATTACATCGAGATTAGGAGGTGTCAGGTGTCACATTTGGCTTTAATGAATCAATGTGCTACATGTACGATATTATCTGTTTGTGTTTTGCCGTTTTCATTTACAGAATCAACTATGCGTACGCTCCATTACAGCGATTTGTTTTAGACTTGCACACTTTCATTTCCGCATTTTATTGTAAGAGGACGGAGACGGCGGGATAGGTCGATTTTTTAAATGTAACTATTTAGAAGAAAAATTTGAGGGATTTGCAAATACAAATGCATACCTGGAAAGACTTTGCCAAGATCTAGACTAGCCAAAAACAGCATTTAATCACTAGGCCTGTCCATATTCAATGACAAATTCACAATAAGGTCCAACCATTTTGATAGCGTTAAACTAAAGTACGTTTTTCGGAAATAACTTACTCTATTTTTGTAAGCGTGTGTATTGTAAAATTACATACCCATCCACTTCAAGATAACTAGGTTCGACTGTATTTGGCAATCATATGTATGGTTATTGGGTTCAGATCTCAACAATTTCCAAAACAAATAGACTCTATTTGTCCTCAACCCAGAGCCACTGGAATCGGCAATTCAATTGGTATAATTTTGAATCAAACCAACTAAGAATGTTTCTAACCAAATATAGCTAACATTCATTTCATAATTCCAGAGTAGAAACCACTACAAGCAATACAACAAGATAATTCTTTTGCCTTGCCAAAATTACTAGGCCCCACCCATCAAACTCAGGAAATCAACCCTTTCATTAGTACATTTGAATCCCAATCTCCAAGGATGACTCCAGTCAAATTTAGAGAAATTTCATTAAACACTTCTAAAGGACTTGTTTAAGAAATTGTTGACCGACAACGGACAGAAAACAGCAGGTTGACAGGAAACAGACAGAAAACAGCAGATTGACAGGCAACAGACACACCTCAGTCCTTCAGAACACGTTAGCCCAAAAGTAATTGTAAGGCTTCATCAACTATCATCAAATTACATGATTATTTTAATAAAATTATTACATTCATTTAAAGTCAATTAATGCCCAATTATTCACTTACTTCCAGAAACAATTAACTGTGTTGAATCACTTCCAGTTCCAGCGGAGTTAGAAGCAAAGCAGGTGTAAGTTGCAGAATCTGTGGTAGAAGCTGTGATGATGTTCAGAGATGGAGAGCCTGTGGTAGCTCCAGAGAAATTAACACCATCAATGTTGATTGATGAGGGTTGACCATTGATGGTACGCTGCCAGAAGACATTTGTGACTGCTGTAGTTGATGATACAGAACATGGAATGGTGTAGGTAGTTCCTTCAGTGGTGGTATAGGAGGTTAGGGGGATATCTACAGACGGGATAGCTGTAATAAAAGAAAACATGAGTGTTTATATGAAACCAACAAATAAGATGTCAGCTAATTTCAAATTACAGCCTCTTCCATAAATCCTGTTTTTTTAAAACAGTTTTTGCTAAAGTTATAAATCATCAAAACACAGTATCAGTCATACAAAAAGCATTCGTTAAGAGAACCACCATCTAAAGAACGCAATTGTACAAAAGAAAGAAATCTGACATCAAATATATGTAGTACAAATTAAAGGCAGTGGATACATTTTGATCTTCCAAACATCTTAAGAGAAGACATCGACAAGTCTCAACTCTTAAAACACCTAACCGGGCTCACCCTGCACCTAAAACATGATGCCCATTGGCCTTAACAGTCACCTGAGTTATGTAAAAACTGGTGTTATCTATGTTGCCAAATGAAAAAGAAATCATTTTGTAACAAAGGTAACTTCAACAAGTACTAATTGTAATGGGGGACCATTACAGAAGTCCCCCAAACTGCCCCCATAGTCGCAAAGATGCATCAGAAAAGGATCAAAATCGCATAAAACACCTTCATAATAAATTTGAGTGAAATCGAACAATATCTGAATTTCGACCAATCTGAAGCCTCCATGTTGTTGGTATGGCAGTGAAACCTATGCGGTTGAATTCACAGTCAGTCCCCTTATACCCCTATATACCATTTTTTATCAAAATTGAATAATATCTATGTCATAGTCGCAAAAATGCTTCAGAAAATGATCGCAATGCCTTTATATACGTACATACTAAATTTGAGGGAAATCGAACAATTTCTAAATTGCGACCAATTAGAAGCCTCTGTGTGGTTGCTATGGCAACGAAGGAATGCAATTGAATTTGCAGTCCTTTAATACCCCTATATATCGATTGTCATCATAATCAAACACTATCTAAATTTCGACCAATCAGAAGCCTACATGTGGTCGATATTGCAACATTACCTATGCGATTCCATTCGCAGTCCCCCAATACCCCTGTAAACCAATTTTCACAAAAATCGAACAATATCTAAGTTTCTACCAATCAGAAGCCAGTATATGGTGGCCATTTTGTCAAATTAGAAAACAAATGTCGCAGTTGAGTTTGCAATGCCATATTACAAATACATACTAAATTTGAACGAAATCGAACAACCGTGTTTCGACCAATTAGTAACCAGTATATGGCAGCCATTTTGTCTAATTAGAAAACAGATGCCATGGTTGAGTACGCAGTACCATCATACACCTTCATGCCAAATTTGGAATGCATTGGAAAATATCTATAAAACATGTAAAATAAGATAGGTGACATTGACTATCTTTAGCGAACACCTTTAGAAATTTTGAATTCCCAAAAGTTCCAAATATTCATGGTGGCCATCTTGAATTGGATGGTAAACTGAAAAACAAAAAAGTGTTTGCACATCTACAGGCTATCAGTAACAATCCATCAAAGTTTGGGGAAGATCTGACTTATAGTGTCAGAAACCTTTACGGTAGAAAACGGAAGAAAGAAGAACTAGAATTGCAATTGCGAGCAATAGCGAAGTCAACCTCCCCTGCTAAGTATGCAGCCGTATAATTGTTTTTACAAAACGAACACTGCAGTTGTGATCGTAGTGCCTTACTACACCTACATACCAATTTTCATTAAAAATTAGACGAAATATTAATTTCGACCAATTAGAGGCCAGGAAATGGCAGCCATTTTGTCAAAATGTGAAAGCGAGGTCATGAAAGTGACCGGTGTTCCATGATATACCTACATAGCAAATTTAATGAAAATTTGACCAATCAGAAGCGTGCATTTGGACGCCAATTTGAATCCAAAGTCAATTATTTTTCTGTCAAAAACGAGCGCTGTGATGTTATAATCCCTTTCACCAAGTTTCATTATGTTCGATCAAATAGAAAGAATGTTATTACTGGTGATCATATTTCGCGTAGAATTTTTGACCAATTCGAGACCAGGAAATGGCAGGTTTTTTTGTGTTTTTTTTTACAAAACAAACACCGCAGTTTTGTTCGTTGTGCCATACTACACCAACACACCAAATTTCATTGAAATTGGACGGTATTTAAATTTCGACCAATCAGAAGCCTGCATTTGGCCGCCATTTTGAATCCAAAGTGAAATATTTTTTGCCAAAAACGATTTAGCCAAATAACCCTTTTTGGCCCCACCCCTCAGCCCCCTGGGGGGTAGGCCCCACCAGTGTACAATTTTGAATCCTTGCCTTCCATGAATGCTTTTGATCAAATATGATTGATATCCAGTTCATAGTTCTACAGAAGAAGTCGTTTGTAGCAATATACCCAAATTGCCCTCTTTTTGCTCCGCCCCTCAGCACCCTGGGGGGTCAGCACCACAATTTGTACAATTTTGAATCCCCACCACCTAGGGATGCTTCCAGTCAAATATGGTTGATATCCATCATTCAGTTCCAGAGAAGTCGCTTAAAGCAATATAGCCAAATAACCCTTTTTGGCCCCGTTCCTCAGCCCCCTGGGTGGTCAGTCCCACCAGTTGTACATTTTTGAATCCCTACCTCCCATGAATGCTTTTGATCAAATATGATTGATATCCAGTGCATAGTTCTACAGAAGAAGTCGTTTGTAGCAATATAGCCAAAATGACCCCTTTTGGCCCTGCCCCTCAGCACAATGGGGGGTCAGCCCCACCATTTGTACAATTTTGAATCCCCACCACCTAGGGATACTTCCAGTACAATATGGTTGATATCCATCACTTAGTTCCAGAGAAGAAGTTGCGTAAGGCAATATAGCCAAATAGCCCTTTTTGGCCCCATTCCTCAGCCCCCTGGGTGGTCAGCCCCACCAGTTGTACAATTTTGAATCCCTGCCTCCCATGAATGCTTTTGATCAAATATGATTGATATCCAGTGCATAGTTATCCAGAAGTAGTCGTTTGTAGCAATATAGCCAAAATGACCCCTTTTGCCCTGCCCATCAGCACCATGGGGGGTCAGCCCCACAATTTGTACAATTTTGAATCCCCACCACCTAGGGATACTTCCAGTACAATATGGTTGATATCCATGACTTGGTTCCAGAGAAGAAGTTGCTTAAAGCAATAAAGCCAAATTGCCCCCTTTTGGCCCAGCTCCTCAGCCCCCTGGGGGGTCAGCCTCACGATTTGCACAATTTTGAATCCCCACCACCTAGGGATGCTGCCAGTCAAATATGGTTGATATCCATCATTTAGTTCCAGAGAAAATGTCGCTTAAAGCAATACAGCCCCCTTTAGCCCAACTATTTGTACAATTTTGAATCCCCACCACCTAGGGATGCTTCCAGTCAAGTTTAGTCAAATTCCAATCAGTGGTTAAGAAGAAGAAGTCGTTTTAAGCAATTGTGGATGCACAGACGACGGATGATGGGCAGACGACAGATATGGCATAAGCTCACCATGGTCCTTCGAACCAGGTGAGCTAATAATAAGTAAGAAACAGAACAATAACAACAAGTCACCCGACTTTGTTCGGGGTGACTTAATAATAATAATTATAATAAGCAAGAAACGGAACAATAACAACAAGTCACCCGTTAATAATAATAACAAGAGTACCACGGGGCGGAACAATATACGCCCGTCGAATGCCATATAGTGTTATATACTTTCTTACATTGAAATAAGATCTGCATCATTCAAACAGTGGTTAGCCGACATGCTATAAAAATGTAAGAGAAAATCTCAGGATAAAACTAGATCACTGACAGGTCAGTAAGGGCCACGTCTTGTGGAAATATATCCCCCATAATCATCAAGAAGCAATCTGCCCATATAGCTGAGCTTGACGTTTGACATTAGGACTTCAAAAAGAATCGCACGGAAGCAAAATATACATTTTACATGTAGTATGATGTGAGTCTTGTTTCCTTCCACCTCCCTATTTGCTGGACTAACTGAAATGTAAATACCGGTGCAATACTCATTTGTTAGCTTTGATTTGTTTTATTTCACCTTATATCCCTCCTACATCAAGAGCCAGAGATCCACTTTGTCTTTGACCTTTGGACCCAAATGACCTTGACCATTAACCTAGTGACCCTGAACTTTTGTCAGTTGACTTATTCTTTAATTCCGACCAACTTTGCTTCTTGATATCATAACAAAATGTTCATCAGTGAAAAGATGCAAATTTGACCTTGACCTTTGAATCTAATGACCTTGACCTTTGACCTCGATTTTTTACCTCACTGAAATTTTAGTTAATTTGACACATTTTGGCCCTGCCCCTCAGGCCCCTTGGGGCTGGGGACAATATAATTCACATGTTTGGTTGACTTTGGCCATGGAAGGTTTCTGCAAAATCTCATTGTAATTGGTTCAGGGGTTTTGGAGAGGAAGTTGAAAATGTAAATTGTTTACGGACGCATGACGACAGACACAAGGCGATTGCAATAGGTCAACAGGTGACCTAAAAACAGTAGCCAAACAAGAGATCCCAGAGGGATCTTGGCGCCCACCATTATACCATCTTCATTAGTTCTTTGTCAGTTCGATCTTTTCTCTTCTTTCCTCTAATCTGTTTTATCGAGTCATGTTAACAGTAAATGCACCTTGAGGTAACTTTTGATCTTAACTTAATACTGATGTGTATGAAAGCCAACCTTCAAAGTGAGTTTGTCATTTCACATATTTACTAGTACAGTACTTAATGTGAAAGAAATAGAATCGATCATTGCAATATGACAAAAATCTGTTTAGTTCTTCCATTAGCCATTGTTTTTATGATCAGTCTCAAAATATAACATGCACAATGAGGGAGAAGGGGAGAAATAGTACTAACAAACCTTCAATGTCAAAACTCAAAGATGGCAAGTAAAAAATTTGAAGCACTGGCCCAAATGACATATTGGTGGCCCAAATAATTTTGGGAAGAAATATTTCCACAGCATTTAACACAATGCTTCAGCACATTTAAATGACATTTAACTTGACAATGTTTGTAATATGTAAAACACAATAAAACATCATATTTTTCATTCTTCAACCCTAGTTAAAACCTTCCCAAAAAGAAATACAAAAAACTTGCACCTCAAAGAAGACACCCTGGCAGTATTTATATAGAAAATCTGAAAAAAAAAGTTCGATTCAAATTGAAGTAATGAAAACTTTAACTACCATTGGCGAGCAGGCAACCATCCATTTCAGGCACTGCTGCACAATAAGGGAACAAGGGGAACCTACATTTAAAATTTGAGAAAGATCCCTCTGGTACTTCCCGAGAAATAGCGAGAACAATCTTTCACTATCAAAATCAAAGATGGCTGCCTGTCTGCCATGTTGTTTATCCGATCAGTCTCAAAAGTTGCCCTGCACAGCTTAGGACCAAGGGAAACCTACATATAAAATTTGAGAACGATCCCTTTGGTACTTCTTGAGAAATACTGATAACAAGAATTGTTTAAGGACGGACGACGGACCACGGACGCAGGGTGATTTGAATAGCCCACCATCAGATGATGGTGGGCTAAAAAGTAGCCAAGTGTGAATTTCAAACAGTCGCCATATGTTTTCAGCGTCCAATCGTAACTTACAGATATGGGCCCTCTTTTAAAATCATTCAATATTTTAAAAAAAATTGAAGTGCAATACTATTCAAAATTATTTTAAAGGAGATCTCTATTAAATTAAAATTTTGTTATATACAATGTATTATGTTTGTAATTTAATCCATAATGTGATTTGTTTATTTTTAAATTCTTTCAGATGATTGCTGTAACTATGACTTCAATTCAAATGCTGAAAATTTGCGCCAATTCTTTTCAAACGAGAGAATAAGCCATTCGGTTTGATATATGTCTCGCATATGCCCTGCTTTGACCATCAATTCACATATCAGAGAAACTAACTTAAACGCAAAAACTTAATGTTGATGGAGATTCTGACAAAGTCAATGGACCCTGAAAGGTAGTTCGCATCCAGCTTTTGATGCATGGGATGAGATGTAATGCCTAAGATGCATGTATGGTCCAGGTTTGGTTGTTGTAGCACTTATACTTTTAGAGAAACTAACTTAAACGCAAAAACTTAATGTTGCCACCGCTGCCATCGCTGGAAATGCAACACCCAAGTCTCTCTTCCACTTCGTGGAAGCGAGACAAAAATCAGACTTATTTTCTTGACACAGCTAGGAGTTGTAAAACAAATGAAAAGGTTGAAAAGTTCACATTTTTAAACATTTTTCCCCTTTAATTATGGGCTTAGATAATCAAATTCTGTGCCTTCAATCTAAAAAGAAAAGAAAAAAATCCAAACCAAAAGAAGCCTCATGATCATTGATGCAATATTTATAATTATTTTTGTAGCAGAACACGTTTGAATGAAAAAAGATGAATTTATAATGGTATTGACCAATACCCTTTGAAATAAAATGGAAGAAAACCACGTCACGCGACATGGCCATTCCCTTGTTGTCGATTGGTATCTTATATAAGCGACCATCAAAGACATTCTGAATGCTTTATTGTTCTTAAAACTGCAATGCTAAATAACTTTTCATGATCACTTGTAATTCTAAAACATCTGATCCAGAAAATCACACAGATACCACGTCGCGTTTGAAGTGATCTGACAGGCCAACAATCGGCACTTTGACATGGTGTTTCAAAGGTGATACTTTCTTCCTTCAGAAAGCATATCAGATGTATTTAAGCTTACTACGGTACTGGAAAAGGTAAATGAAGACCATGTACACTAATTTAACAAGAGGCCCAATGGACCTGCATCGCCCACCTGGTATTAATTTCACACCTGTAATCTTAAAAGTGGACTAAAATACAGCTACAGGCAGAATATCAGTGTTTTATTCATAAGAACCAATTAAAAGATTTAAACATATGACGCCTGTAACATTGAATGTCGAACAAGGACATTAGGTTAAAAGTGTGTCAAGGTCATCACCATAGGCCTCTTGGTTATTTAGATGGGTATTTATAAGTTGTTTAAAGGTTTTAAACATATTTGACCCCTGTGACCTTGAATATAAGTCAAGGACATTTATTTGAACAAACTTGGTAGCCCTTCATCCCAGCATGTTACTGGCCAAATATCATCACCCTAGGGCTATTGGTTATTCAGAAGTTGTTTAATGTTTTCAACATATTTGACCCTAGTGACCATGAATATGATTTAAAGTCATTTATTTGAACAAACTCGGTAGCCCTTCATCCCAACATGTTACTGGCCAAATATCATCACCCTTGGTCTTTTGCTTATTAAGAAAAAAGTTATTTAAAGATTTTAACATATTTGACCCCTGTGACACTGAATGCATGTGACGGTCATTTATTTGAACAAACTTGGTAGCCCTTCATCCCAGCATGTTACTGACTAAATATCATTACCCTAGGCCTCTTGGTTATTCAGAAAAAAGTTATTTAAAGATTTTAACATATTTGACCCCTGTGACCTTGAAAATGGATGACGGTCATTTATTTGAACAAACTTGGTAGCCCTTTATCCCAGCTTGCTTCTGGCCAAATATCATCACCCAATGCCTTTTGGTTACTGAGAAGAAGTTGTTAAAATAAAAAGTTGACGCCGGACAGACAGACGCCGAACAGACGACAGAGGGACGCCGCACCATGCCATAAGCTCACTCGGCCCTTTGGGCCAGGTGAGCTAAATATACGGAACCCATAAATTAGTAGATGTGGTGCTTAACTCTATTTTGTACAGATTATTTAGCATTTTCCTTCGATGGATGTATTTCTATTGATTATGGCTTACAAGGTTTATTGGAAAAGTTTTATTCCACTTATGATAACTTTTTAAATTGTAAGGCATACTGGATGAAAGAAAGTGGCACTTCACCTTCGTCAATAGGAATACATTCTCATTCTCTCTTATTGTATAGAAAGGTAATAACAATATCATAGTTATTATCATATTGAAATCCAATACATCTGGAATTGTATCCAGTGATGATTTTTTATATTTTTACAACCAGGAAAATATAACTGATAAATACCAAGACAAGCATTTAAAGCCAGGTAAGAACATATTTTCACAGTTAAAAGGGCATAAATCTGTAAACATGCCTTATGCTTTTTGGAACTAATTTTAGACCCTTTCATTAGGTAAATGGTGATAAACCCATGTCACATTTCCAGCTAAAGGTACACATACATTTTGTAGCATTCTCTCCAAACATGTAGAATGTAATTCAATAAAATTAGAAATTTTCATGGTGTGGATTTTTTTTTTCGCATTGAGAATAATTTGTCATTGTTGACCAATGATGGAGAGAAAACAGCAGATTGACAGGCAACAGACACATCTCAGTCCTTCAGCACAGGTTAGCTCAACAAAGATTGTAAGGCTTCATTCACTGTCATCAAATTACATGATTGTTTTAATAGTGCAATAACAATCAAAGTCAATGCCCACTTATTTACTTACCTCCAGAAACAGTTAGTTGTGTCGCGTCACTTCCAGTTCCAGCAGAATTGGTAGCAGAGCAGATGTATGTTCCAGAGTCTGAGGTAGAAGCTGTGATGATGTTCAGGGATGGAGAGCCTGTGGTAGCTCCAGAGTAATTAACACCATCAATGGTGATTGTTGAGGTTTGACCATTGATGGTACGCTGCCAGAAGACATTTGTGACTGTTGTAGTTGATGATACAGAACATGGAATGTTGTAGGTAGTTCCTTCAGTGGTGGTATAGGAGGTTAGGGGGATATCAACGGATGGGACAGCTGTAATAAAAGCAAAAACATTATAATAATACTAACAAGTAAGACGTCAGCCGATTTCAAAATATATATATATATAGATAAACTAGAAATGTAAGCTAAAAGCTAACTATTACCCTCACTCCTCTATAAACTAGAAATGTAAGCTAAAGGCTAACTTTTACCCTCGCTCGTCTATAAACTAGAACTGTAAGCTAAAAGCTAACTATTACCATCACTCCTCTATAAACTAGAAATGTAAGCTACAGGTTAACTTTTACCCTCGCTCCTCTATAAATTAGAACTGTAAGCTAAAGGCTAACTTTTACCCTCGCTCGTCTATAAACTAGAACTGTAAGCTAAAAGCTAACTTTTACCCTCAATCCTCTATAAACTAGAAATGTAAGCTGAAGGCTAACTTTTACCCTCGCTCGTCTATAAACTAGAACTGTAAGCTAAAAGCTAACTTTTACCCTCGCTCGTCTATAAACTAGAACTGTAAGCTAAAAGCTAACTTTTACCCTGGCTACTCTATAAACTAGAAATGTAAGCTAAAGGCTAACTATTACCATCACTCCTCTATAAACTAGAACTGTAAGCTAAAGGCTAACTTTTACCATCACTCCTCTATAAACTAGAAATGTAAGCTAAAAGCTAACTATTACCATTGCTCGTCTATAAACTAGAACTGTAAGCTAAAAGCTAACTTTTACCCTGGCTACTCTATAAACTAGAAATGTAAGCTAAAGGCTAACTATTACCATCACTCCTCTATAAACTAGAACTGTAAGCTAAAAGCTAACTTTTACCATCACTCCTCTATAAACTAGAAATGTAAGCTAAAAGCTAACTATTACCATTGCTCCTCTATAAACTAGAAATGTAAGCTAAAGACTAACTATTACCCTGGCTACTATATAAACTAGAAATGTAAGCTAAAGACTAACTATTACCCTCGCTCCTCTATAAACTAGAACTGTAAGCTAAAGGCGAACTATTACCATCACTCCTCTATAAACTAGAACTGTAAGCTAAAGGCTAACTATTACCATCACTCCTCTATAAACTAGAAATGTAAGCTACAGGTTAACTTTTACCCTCGCTCTTCTATAAATTAGAAATGTAAGCTGAAGGCTAACTTTTACCCTCGCTCGTCTACGAACTAGAAATGTAAGCTAAAGGCTAACTTTTACCCTCGCTCTACTTTAAACTAGAACTGTAAGCTACAGGCTAACTTTTACCCTCGCTCGTCTATAAACTAGAAATGTAAGCTACAGGCTAACTTTTACCCTCGCTCTTCTATAAACTAGAACTGTAAGCTAAAGGCTAACTTTTACCCTCGCTCTACTTTAAACTAGAACTGTAAGCTACAGGCTAACTATTACCATTGCTCCTCTATAAACTAGAACTGTAAGCTACAGGCTAACTATTGCCATTGCTCGTCTATAAACTAGAAATGTAAGCTAAAGGCCAACTATTACCATCGCTCCTCTATAAACTAGAAATGTAAGCTGAAGGCTAACTATTACCATCGCTCCTCTATAAACTAGAAATGTAAGCTAAAGGCTAACTATTACCATCGCTCCTCTATAAACTAGAAATGTAAGCTACAGGCTAACTATTACCATTGCTCGTCTATAAACTAGAAATGTAAGCTACAGGCTAACTTTTACCCTCGCTCGTCTATAAACTAGAACTGTAAGCTAAAGGCCAACTTTTACCCTCGCTCCTCTATAAACTAGAAATGTAAGCTAAAGGCTAACTTTTACCCTCGCTCCTCTATAAACTAGAAATGTAAGCTACAGGCTAACTATTACCATTGCTCCTCTATAAACTAGAACTGTAAGCTAAAGGCCAACTTTTACCCTCGCTCCTCTTTAAACTAGAAATGTAAGCTACAGGCTAACTATTACCATCGCTCCTCTATAAACTAGAACTGTAAGCTACAGGCTAACTATTACCATCGCTCGTCTATAAACTAGAACTGTAAGCTACAGGTTAACTTTTACCATCGCTCCTCTATAAACTAGAACTGTAAGCTACAGGCTAACTATTACCATCGCTCGTCTATAAACTAGAACTGTAAGCTAAAGGCTAACTTTTACCCTCGCTCCTCTATAAACTAGAAATGTAAGCTAAAGGCTAACTATTACCATCGCTCCTCTATAAACTAGAAATGTAAGCTGAAGGCTAACTAAGACAAAGTATTGAAGCAGTCAAAGTCCCCCACCAGTTATGATTTCTTTATATACTGAGCTGTATACCCATTTTAGTAAATAGGTCACCGTGACATACTTCTAGCACTCCCCGTGCCGAAACATCTTCGCATACCAAATCTGGCTTGTCCAGATGAACCATAGCATAGTAAGATATGCCCTAAACAAATGTTTTAGAGGCTGAGTTAAAAAGTAAAACAACATGTCACAGTGACCTACTTTTTGTATTTGACATTCCACCAACCTATACAGATACTCAGATTTTATTCTGACTATATGAATTTACATATCGCTCTGCTGTCAGTTCTATAATATAAATGAAAATTATGTTATAACGAGGACAAACTAAGATATCCCCATCAAGCCACCATACCCCCGAAATTGGAAATATGGGTGGAAAAGTTATTATTCCCCCTGACAGTATTTTCAGTCTAAATTACATGCTTACACAGTATGGTGGTCCTGTATGGAGATATTTTTATGATAGTTCTATGCATATACCTGATGAAATTGTCACAGAAGCTGTCGCACTACTACCAATTCCACCAGCATTTGTAGCAAAGCATTGGTAGGTCCCCGAGTCTGTTATGTCTGCATTGATGAGGGTCAGGGAAGGAAGGGTGATGGTTGAACCAGAGAAATTTGTCCCATCAATAGTAATGTCCACGAATCCTGACCCAATGTCACGCCTCCAGTAGACAGAGAGGACGGTCGCAGCTGAGGTGACAGTACAGCCGAGTGTGATCGTAGTTGACACTTGTGCCCCAAAGGCTGTTTGGGCAATTGTTACAGATGGAACCTCTGAAAATTTGATAAAACAGTTTATCTATCAGATCAAAGTTCAATAAACAGTTTTAAAGAATGAAAAAAAAAATAGTTTCTAAACATTGTTGTTTTGATGTTGGCCATTAAAAGAAATCCTAAAATATATTACAAAATGCCAAAGGGCACTACCTCACTCAACTTTGATACAACCAACACATATTTTGATGTTTCTTACCTATTGTTCTTAAGATGTATGCGTTCAGGGAACACCCCCATATTTTTCTTTGCCCCAGGAGGTACAATATATACTATTTTTTAAACACTATTACAACATGACTGAACAACCTCAAGCCAGGCTTACTAGGATAGAATCAGTGAAGTAGGATATCAGAAGCAAAGTTTACCATATTCCGTGTTGAATCATTACTATTTCCTGTTTTCAGGACAATGTAACAGTGGTCCATAGCTGAAGTTTGGTGTAAACATACTAAGTAAAGAACTTGTCAATATATGTTGTGCATACTTGTAGAATTTGTATCTGCATACTTGTTATATTTGATTGAAATTAAATAATTTGAAGGGCATTTTTTGCATGCAAACCAACAAACCAATCAGAAGAAAGCAGCCTCATTAACCAGGTATAAAATGCATACGAGTCGCATTAGAAATAACATTTAGCTTAACACTTGCCATTATGTATGTCCTAATCAAATTTGTATGAAATTTAACCGTTTTAAGGGCAGTTATTAAACAAAAATTAAGTTAATCAACCCGAGTGAGGTATCCTTATTAATTATACATAAATATGCATGCATCATATATTAGCCATAGACTTACACTGTGTTGTATACGAAACATATAGGCAAATCATCCACCATACAAGTAAAATTAAACCAATTTGATAGGAAAACCATGAAATAAGGCTGCATTGAATGGCCCATTTCCAGTTACAAGGCACTCACAGTGCACCAGTTCCTTTATTAACCTCAAGGTAGCAGATGAAATGAGTGTTTAATTACACAGATTTCCGCCTATAACATTATACAGTTCAAATTATGGTCAGTCCATAAATGCATGTTTTGCATCCTATTTCACTTTTCTAGAATATGTACGCAGAGTGTAACCAGCATCATTTATATATGTAAATATTGCGTAGATCTCTTTACAACACATCCGTTCAGCTGGACAAATGAAATCCTCCATACTCTAGGGGTTAAGCTCACTTATTTTTTGAAGTTTGATCCTTTGAAGAACATCAAAAGAATCTTGTGGCAGGGTAACGTAAAATTGACTTGCTTTGACCTCAGGTGTCGCTTAATTCTCTGTAATCTTCAATGGACAAGTATTATCATACCCCTGGTCTATCAAGAAATGACAAATGAAAGCAATACAAAAGGTTTTACTGAACTCCCTAAATCTATTGGTGTATAAATTTAACTACATACGTATACTGGTGGTAGTGACGGTCAAGACTGTGGCAAGACTTGAAGATGTTCCAGCGCTGTTTGTTGCAGAGCAGACATAGGTGCCATCGTCCGCGTTGGTGGTACTTGCGATGGTAAGAGATGGGTTTCCAGTGTTTGCATTTGTGTACTTGGAGTTATCTACTGTAATAGAACTTGGTACTCCATTAAGAATACGTGACCAGGAAACAGAGGTGACAGTTGATCCAACAGTACACTGCAGTGTTACAGTAGTTCCGGAATTAATATTGTAACTACCCTGACCAATGGTCACTGTGGGAATACCTGTAATGAAAGAAAATTTAAAATAATTTGTCATTGTGTCACATCATTAACAAAATCATGCTTTTCTTTCAAACTATTTCACTGTATAAACTTTTTAACTAAAAAACTTTTTAACAATTTCACTGTATAAACATTTTACCTAGTTCAATGTATAAACATTTTACCTAGTTCACTGTATAAACTTTTTAACTATAAACTTATAAACTATTTCACTGCATAAACTTTTTAACTAAACTTTTTAACTTTTTAACTATAAACTTTTTAACTATATCACTGTATAAACTTTTTAACTATATCACTGTTTAAACTATATACTTTTTAACTATAAACTTTTTAACTTTTTAACTATAAACTTTTTAACTATATCACTGTATAAACTTTTTAACTATCACTGTATCACTTTTTTACTGTAGTGTATAAAAAAATCTTTTTCACTGTATAAAGTTTTTAACCTTTTAACTATTTCACTGTATAAACTTTTTAACCTTTTTACTATTCACTGTATAAACTTTTTATTTATAAAAGATGATGATTTCACCATTAATAAAGAAAAAGCTGTCTCAGTTCCAAATAATTTTACTAAACAATCTTCATTGTAAAACCATTCCACTTAGACAGTTAACTTCCAAGTTTTGACTGCTGAAATGGGCAGAAAAACACCTCTCCTTTTTATGTCACTTTCCGGTTATCAGTTTTCATCCGACACATTAGAAGTAATATTACGCGAAATCTACTGCATCAATTTTGATAAACATTGTGAAATAATCTATATATATGTGTTGAAATTTGTAACCAATCTTTGATCTATTTTAGCTTTGAAATATTATCTAAACACTATATATTCCATAACCCTGATGTAATATTGTCATATACTTCTGATTGTGTGAATCACAATCTTGCTTGCCAAGACATGCAGATCTCGAGTGGGCGAGTCACAATATCACCAGAACCTTAGCCTATGGCAATATCGCCGCAAGGGCACCAGCACATTCTGGTTATATTGCTGCAAAAGCCAGAACCTTCTTGCGATATTCTGGCCACATTCTAGTGATTTCACCAGAATTCTTATTTGCATACGAAATCTATTCATGCAGCGGTATCATTGCAATATTGCGGCGCTATCGCAGCAATCATGTGCCAGAGACTCAATAATTCTGTAAGGGTCTTTATCACTATTTTTGAAATATTTGTTGAAGCCTTTATCAAAAGAAATATTCCATACAAATCAAACTTGTTGTCAAGCATTGCATGAAACTGTAGTTGCTGGAAATTTGAATACTTGGAATATGAATAAAAACAAGAAAAATGCAGGAGTTGAACTTGGGACCTTTACATTGCAAAACCTACACTATAATGATGTTTCCATGCCCTACTAGACAAGCAACTCATCAACATGGATGTCCACTTTATGGCTAAACTATGTAGAAAAACTCATTCTGGTTACATCTTCTTTATAGAAAGGAGAATACTCCCAAGTTTAAAAAAATACTATGACATCATCAATAGATTGACAATCTATGACGTCACACAATGCTGTACTGTAACGTTACCATGCACCTGAAGAACTAATACAGTGAAAACGAAAGTTCAAAATGTAACGCCTTCTTTTATCAATTAACTAGTTTTTTATTTAACTAACTTGCATTTTGTCAAGATAGTCATTTTTCTATAGTTTAAGTGATAGACTTCCTACATTAGCACTTATCATCTATTGTCTTTGGAATTCAGGTTTATTCATCCAATTCAATCCCAATCAGAAACACATTAATGATTTCTTACATGAGAAAAGTTTGAGAGAGGGCCTAGTAAGTTGTAAGAGCTTGTGCCCAATCCCTTTGACTTTTTAATGTCAATAAAATATGTTTGAATGTGAAACGTAGAAATGTCATAAAACATTTGAACAAAAATTGAGTTTGTTAAGCAAATACAAACATGCAACACCAACAAAAAAGCCTGACGACCTACCTGCTATAACATTGACGTTAAGTGCGATCTGTGCACTATCTGATGATCCTATAGAGTTTGTGGCTCTACATTTGTAAGATGCAGTGTCTGAACTGCTCAGACCGTAGATAATCAGCGAGGGACTGGCCACATTTCCTCCTTGGTATTTTGAATTATCAATAGCCACAGTTGTTTCGACTCCACCACTTGTTTTATACCAAGTAACTAGAGTTACAGCAGGATTTCCCGAGGCAGTACACTGCAAAGTAACTCTAGTGCCAGAATTGGGTGTATAAGACTGTGATTGTATATTGACAGTTGGTGCACCTATAAAATAGAGAAACAAACAGCATATAAATAAAAAGATATATTACAAAAATGTGATGGCAGATTAGACGGAAATGTATTGAAATACTACAACTATAATGTCCAAAATATTTCAAAGACACGACCAATCAACCTATCTGAACACAACAGCTTCATTTAGTAAGTGTAGAATTGGCCAAACATCAAATTCAAGTAAAGGCTTAGGCAAGTATGTGGTGTAGTATACCTGAGGAAAACTTTGTCAAAAGATGGATGTTACTGGCCCAAAAATAAATCTTTGTTCAAGTACATTAATATTCTCAAAATCGTAGTTTACTCCCATAAATTAACCACCCCAACCTCGGAACACCCATTTTCGGAAACCATGTACTCTCAAGAGTCTGGGTCACGTCGTTAAAACGTGCAAGTGCATCAGAATTGATACAGACAGTCAACATGGCGGATGCAAACAGGGGCTGGGGATTTCTGAAAGGAACCCCGTCAACGTCAACAGAT